AGAGGTGCAAAAGGGGGGAAGGGAGAGCGAGCGAGCACATAGGATACATGAATGGCGCGAATGGTGACGGGCGTTGAAAGCATTGTTCTGGGCAATTGGTAATGTCAGGGGGATCCATCATGGAAGGAAAGGCATGGCATAATGGGTTGGCATGGGATGGGATGGTATGATGACTGAATGGTGGATTGTAGCATATGTTTTTTGTGTCAGCGTGTTGCGCAAGATGAATATCGACTTTACGTAGTGATAACGAAGAACTTGATGGCTCATTGTTAATGCATACATATACACGTCTAAAAACTTTTGTAGCACCCTGCCTTATAGCGCCATGTTGCCATCCATGTTCCAAGGTATTAAACACACACAAGGTGCCGATACACCTATAACACAACAACAATGATAGCATATGCGTCTGCTTCATGTTGTAGATGCTCTTTTGCTAGAGAGCAGAGCCAAGTCAACTCTTAGAGTGACCTGTCCTTTCACAGCCAACACCCTCATCCACCGAACCTCAATGGTGCGCTTAAGCGGGAGGATCCTGGGGCGCATATGGGTACAGCGGATCAAACATGTTTGTTGGATCAAATGGGGGTGCGAGGCCGAAAGGGTCGTTTTGCGGGAATGCATAAGGAAACATGTTGTATGTCGGTTGGTAGAAGGGCCCGGCGTCCTGTTGAGTATGGGCCTGAACGAAAGTATATCCTAGAGGGAGCTGTGTGTCTTCAAGCGGGTTCGTCGTCGTCGTCGTCGTCGTCATCATCATCTCGGTATCTCCATAGCCCTCTTGGGGGTCGGGAGGCGAGTCTCGTGATCGTGTCGGTTCGTTTCTCGTGTCGTCGATAAAAGTAGAATTCTCCTCTATAGAGCTACTCTCAAGGGAATCGTCCTCGATGGAGTCATCCCCCATAGAGTCGCCATCTACAGAGTTATCGGTCATAGGGCCATCTTCTATAGAGCCCTCGTCCATCGCGTTGTCGTCCGCCAGCTCATCATCTTCGTCTTCATCGGTCTCTTCGGCCTCATCTTCCGATTCCATCGAATCCTGCCGTGCCGCTTCCTTTTCCACCTGCAATAATTGTGGTGGAATTTCGTCGCGGTCCTCAAGCTCCCTTCTTGTCCGGACGTTCCTCGTCGCATCAACAAAGTAGTCATCCCCGGCCGTTGTCTCCCACAGGGGCAAAGTTACGTCGTATGGGTCGCCTTCCGGTCCAGGGAGCACGGGATTCTCGCGAAGCTTGCAGCACGTGTGTGGCACTCGATCGGTTGCGTATGCACATCTCGTCCGGTTGTCGCGGAGGACGCAGTGGCCTTTGTGCTCAGAACCACGAGGGCACTCATCCAGATCATCATCTTGCACGTGGTAGTGTTCCATCCACTGGTAACCCCCAATATAGGACGCCACGAGGTCGAGGTCTGGGTCGTTGAAAGCTGGGCAAGGATCAAGGTTGCAGCAGCTACTCTGCACATCAGTCAACTTGAGCTCCAAGTCAGTTTCAAGTAACAAACAAGCATACCGCCGTCGGACCGGTTCTCCAGTGGAGGTCGAGATCTCCGGCATCGCTGTCGCTCGAGGATTCGAGCCTGTCAACCGCTCCAGGGACCACCTCGTCCCCCATCAACAGCCCCAACAAAGCAAGCTTCTTGGTCAGAGCCTGCCACTGGTTTCGAAAGATGCGCCGTTTCCGTTCCATGTTTTGTATCTTGGCGTAAGAACTCATCTCCTCGAGATCATGCTTGTCCTTCTTATTCAACCACACATATGAGACCTTGTCCGGTGTCTCAGCCATCCAGCGGAAGTAGATGCGAGCTTTGGTTTTTTTCTTTCCCTGAAAGGTGTTGAGCACAGAACCAACAGCTGCCGCATGGTGTTCGCCTGATTCGCTTCTCTTGCTGAGTTGAGGAACGAAGCAGATGTAGTCAAAGGGCAGCTCGAACAGTCGAAGGGACTCGAGGTCAATAACGGGGACTCGGTTCTCATCGTTATCGATATTATGCGTCGGCACGAGGCTTCTTTCGACCCAGACCCGGTCTCCTCGCTTGTAATCGTGAGTTGCTGCCCTTTCCCCTTGTCTTGGAATCATCTTGGCTTGCCCATCTCGTACAATGACACCGTGTGCATCGTCCATCAATGGGCCCTCGGGAGCATCGCTATGCCTCTTGAAGTGTTGGCTGGCCTGTTCCTGAACCCACACCTTGTTCTCGGCGTCCGAGTTGATCTGGCGAAGCACAAGCGTGTCGTGGCGTTCATCCGGTGACTCTTGTGGTGAGTTGAGGAGGATGGGATCACCACCATGGCCCTCGACTTTGTACGTGTATCTCCAGATACGGACACGGAAGTCGGGCTCCAAATCATCCATGTTGTAGCTGAAGGCCGAATGGGTGCAGATATCATGCCTTTTTCTGGGGAAATTCGACAGGTAAAATCAAAATCCGACAGGGTGAATTTCAGACCCTGAATCGCGGGCGTCATCCACATTATACAGACGCCACGACTCGACGTGCGCTAAAGATGCAAGGAGACCTAAGTATGGAAAGGCAGCTGATAATCGACATGAACTGACAAGCCTTTTCTCTGTGGAGTTCCATGGATGCTACCCAATGTCATGTCCCGCGGCCTCAGCCCCGGGTATGGCGGACATGGCACGGCGAGTGTTGACAGAGAGACCAACAATCGTTGTCACATTCATCGCCTTGTCCACAGCCCGATCTGATGTGTCAACCGTCTCCGCAGGCCCTAAGGCACGCACGCTTTGGCCAGGAACTCTTGATGGCGCTTACCGAGTGGAGTGGCCGGCAGGGGTGACACTCAACCATCAACCCCAGCTCTGTTGATTGGTCTCGGTATCACTACCCCAGCCTTTTCCCTTCCTTTCCCTTCCCTTCCCTTCCCGCAGAAACGGACGAACCGCCACAGTCTCCAAAGTCACTGTGTCAAGCCAAGGTAAAAAGGTGGGTAGGCCGGTAGGTCTGGGCGACCATCCGAGAAGACGGTGAGACGAGGCTGTAACAATCCTGCGAACTTGAAGCCTTTGCCGTAAACAAGGTCAAGTGCCGGCAATGTATTTCCCCTTTGAGACAAAGAGGCGCGTAGGTGGATCATATTGCTTTTTCTTTTCTGTCAACGTCTATTCCGTTTGGATAGTTCGTGCCAGGGATTCGTGCTGGCTACCAACAGCACTGACTGATTCGGCTCCTTGATTTCGGCCAGAAGGACTCCAGAGATCGAGATTCAACGTCCAAGATCCAACGCGAAATAGTCGATGCAGAAGCGGTTAAGGTCTTAGCCGCAACATCATAGTACGTGGCTAGCAGCCGTTGATAAGACTTGCCAACGGTGCCGATGGCGGAGCGAGCCGATAGCGTCGATGGCGTCTGCTCGAGTTGTCACAAACATGGTCCATGTGATGTGATGCAGGCCCAGACGGAGTCCAGGGTTGACAGTCACCCAGTCGCAAGCCAGATTTCCATCCTGTCTGCACGCACTGTCTGTCACCTCTGCCCCGGGTGCATCTGATCGGCCGCTCCAATGAGCCCGTGTGTCCGATTCTCATGAACGCTCCGCTCAGGCGGCAGATGGACAGGTTAGTGTGGTTGCAGTTTCTTTGCTTCGTCGTTTGCGTGTGCGTCTCTCGGTTTCACATGCCTCAACCTTTACTGGTTGAATGTCTTCTATTTGGTATTCTAGACCGTTCAGAAGCGGCCCGCTTCCACACAGTTTGGTATGTCCTCCATACACCTGCGAGGGAAATCTCCAAGTGACCGAGCAAGACAAGACAAGAGTTTGGCGAAGCGTGCCGTGCTTTTGAATGTCTCAATTCCGTCCCGGCTAGAAATCCTTGAAGGCGGGTGGCCAAGTGTTGTTTGGTGAGATTGGAGTGTGCGTGCTCCTCAGTGCTGGATAGCTTATCGTACATAACGGTCATCCGGCCCGCTTCGAATATCGAGTCGAGGGGGACCGGGCCTCCAGGACACATTGGTCGGCTAGTCTTGATAGAACTGTCGACTTCAGTCCTTGTTGGAGTCGCTTGATGGCTTCTCGGATGGTGCTGGCTTGTCCATGCCAAGTCGAGCCATCAAGTCTTCCATCATCTTCTCCATTTCCTTCTCGTCCTCGGGATTTACCAACCCCGGCCGACGAATTGCCGCTTGACTTCTCTCTCGCAGCTCTTGAACCGACGAGAGATCAAAGCCCCATGATATTCCTCCGACCAACAAGACAGCGAAGCTCATGACATTGAGTGTGGCAAGTCCAAGAGCCTGCGCTGCAAGTAAAGACCTATCCGCCGAGTCGAACTTTACCGCCTGCCGATTGGATGAGTAGAACTTGGGGAGGGAATCCAGCCGCCTTCTCAATACTGAGCGTCGTGAGATAGCTATAGATGCAGCCATAAATCCTGCACCGGCGACAAATAGGCCAAATTGCTTGAGTGGACGGGTCCATGGCTGGGACGTTGATGGGACTTCAGTTGGAGCCGCGGTAGCTCGATGAACTTGAGCCGCAGGGGTGCTGGCAGTGCCGGGCATAGTAGCGTACGTGCTGGCCATTGAATGCCAGATACGTAGATCTTAGAGAAGCGACACCTCGATGATTGGTTCAGCCGGGATCCAGATGATGCTGCAGCGCGCTTGATGGAGGTGTTTGTTTGTCTTTGTATTCTCTCTCCTTCCAATGTCAAATGCTGAAAATGCAGCAGCAGGTTTGCCTTCCCCACCGGAAAAACAGCAACCCGACAAGTGCACCAACCCATATATGGCCTAGTAGCATATAAGCTGCTCCTTGCCTTGCTCGCTATATACATATTAATTGCCTGTCCACCCATCCCAGTCACCAATACATCATCTGCTTCTCTATACTGCACAACTTGCTAATGCTCATGATTCGAAGCTGTCTGGTGATCCAAAACTCGAGCTATCGCTAGACTCCGCTGACCCGATATGTTGTGGTTTGTTGTTTCGGTTGAGGTTGATAAACTCTCTTTCGTCCTCTATGCCACCATCAGTCAGAAGCCGAGACCACGATTCGGCTTGGGAGACTCACTCTCTAGACGGAACTGATTCGTCACAACGGGCGTCCCACACGCCATGGGGTTTCGGACAAATCGAGGGATGCATGTGAGCTCTCCAAACGGGATGCCGCTCTTGGGTATTTTATCTTGAGGCGGCGTCAACCTCGCCCGGCAATGGTCCTTCAGTTGCAGGCTCTCGTATGTTTTCGCATCGTCTACCGAGATGGCGCGGCTGAAGGTGTCTCGCACTACCTCGTCCTCGTACTCGGCGACAAATTCATGGGGCCCGTCTCCATACAGGAACTGGTACAAGGCCAGGGCGACAAACATGCAGCACTGGACAGGCTTCTTTCTCCGCTGCACTAGCGTGTCCGCCTTTTCGTTGAGCCTCCTTCTGCGCTCGTACTCGAGCACCGACACATCCGATGCCGGCGTTCCCGGGGGCGGCTTCTCTGGGAGAACCCACGACTGCATCTGCTCGAGATGTGTGATTCTTTGGCCGGAGATGATGGCTTTGCGTGCCGCTCTCAGGATCCTTATGACGCGAGCGCTCGAAACTTTCACCTTGGCCTCTCTTCGAATCACCATCTTGATGTCGCAGATGAGCATGGCAGAGTAGGCCATGACTCTGGACGTCCTGGAGAAGAGTTGATCGAGCTCGGGGTGTTGACGATTGCGATACTGGACCCTTGCGCATACGGCCCAATCCCTCCATAGGGTCTCGAACCGCTGTATCGTGCAGCTCAGTCGCTGCGATGACCGTATGCACACCACGGCTCGAGGCTTTCCCTGCTCGGATGTTTCGCCGAGGGCACGGGCGATGGTGAGAAGGGCGAAGCTGGCAAGCATGTTCCCACGGAGCTGACTAGTCAGTTGGGTGATGGACAGAATCCCGCGGGAAGAAGAGGGTTGGCTTTATTCTCACAGCACAGAGCTGTTCGACTTAAGAGCGAGCGATGATCCCCTGGTTACAGCCATGGTTGGCTCAGTTGGTTCCGCCAAAGACGCCGCATCTGTAGGTGCATCTGTTTCGACTATCGCGATCCGCGAAGAAGCAATTCTTGAACCATTGGTCCAGGAGCCGGGTTTAAGCCATCTCGGTGCTCTCTCCTTACAGGCACACATGACCAATGGTCACGATCGTTGGGACTAACGTGACGATAGAACCAGGCACGCAAGTGGGTATCAAGACGAGACGGCAGCGGCCTTAGTTCTCCGGGGGATTGTCCTCCAGTCGGAGATTTTGTTGACACATCCAGGACAAAGAAGGAGGAGTTCGATAGAGGCAAGGCGAGGCGACAATAGGCATACACCGAGCGTCGGATCGAGGTTCAACATGACATGGATTCGTGGTCGATGCAGGCACAAACCTGGACCGCGGGCTAAAGGCCACGGATCGATGACTAGCAGGGAACAGCCTTCTTGCAAAGCGAGCCACCGTATCAGACAGGTGTGCCGCCCATCCGCCCCGGTCCAATAGCCTTGGAAAACGAGACAACAAGACGATACCCGACTCGTAACCAGCTGGTTGCTGTGTCATTGATGGCTTTGAGGGTCAGGCGGGTCGAAAAAAACACCGCCGGTCCCAGCACCAAAATTGTATAGGGAGAGCGGCGGTGATTTCTTCGACCCGCCTGAGGGTTCCCACCCAGGGATTTCAAGCGCCTCACCGGTCTCATACAAAGGCCAAGTTTTGCGTCATAGTGTGGAAGAAGAGTTGACTATGCCGGACGGCGCAGTAGATCATGGGAGCCCAGGCATGCATGTTGCGGGGTGATGGTCCCGCTACAAGGATGTGCCTGCAAATGCCGCCTGCTTTATTTCGACCTCAGCGGCCAAGGCCAGGGCTTTGAGCCTCTGCGAGTCTCTCTGATCGGAGCCTCTTCCGCCAACCAACCAACCATTGTTGTTACCAAGACAGTCAGCGCCAACTGAGTGGGAATGTCGATCCCATCGTCAGAATCAGGCCATCACACGCGTCTCTATATTTCTACTACCGACCCCAACGACGATCTCATCCTTTTCCGCTGGTGATTTCAGCTGGATTGGGCCATCATCCGCCTCACTCATCCCAAGTCCCTGGCGCTGGCTCAACAGGGCGGGACGACCCTCGTCGACCAGGCTAGGCAGGGTAACCTAGCCTAGCTTAACCAGGCCTGCATATCCAAGCACCTGGACGGCGGACAGACAGACTTCTTTGCCGCCTTCTCTTGCAGCGAGTCATTTGGCCCACCCTTGGTATCTACCAGGTACCAACTTTTGACCAAGTGCTGGTACCGACCTACCCAACTTGGTACGCGTATGCGCAAAAAGCAAGCTGAACCTCACCATCTCCTCCACGGCTGCCACCATACCTAATCCTCTGCTACGTGCAGCTCGCGCCTCAGCGTTTGTCCATTCGTCTTCGCAGCTCTCAGCCCCGGCGTTCTCGTGCTTGAGATAGTGAGAGACGAGGGATACTGGTGGCTAGCTGTCCACCATTCGTTAGCTTCGGGTATCAATCATCCATTGCATCTTGCGTACAGAGCCGTACGGATATCGCGCCTAAATCTCGTCTCCTGCAAAGGCCTCATCTCAGTCTCCGGTGCGGTGTCGGCTCCGAACCTCTCTTCCTTGTACGTACTGTACGGGTATGGAGTTCCTCGACTGCCAACCAACTTGGCACATTACGCCAAGCTCCTGCTCAGGCCTCTTGTCTTGGTTTCCCCAGTCTTCTTCTGCATCAACTCCTGGATGGGAAAGTGGTACATGGTGCATATGCACATGAAAGGCTAATCAACCCTTTCCCAGATTCACATCTCTATTTCAAATTCTTGTTTCACGATTCGCCACCCAGATAGATCAGGGCTGCCATCCCCGAAAACACACTACCTACTTTTGAGGTTCTTGACAGCCATGGCGAAGCCAAAGAGCAAAGCATCGAGGCCAACCAAGCCTGGGGCTACGGCTCCTCCACCACCTCCTCCTCCCGCTATTCCTCTTTGGCCGGCGTTCAAGCCTCCGCTGCCAATCGTTGACCTGTCTCCTCAACCACATCCATTGACATCCAAGGTTATCCTCATTCCCTCCTTCTTCCCGCGTTCCCTCTGTCGCGACTATGTGGCCTTTCTCAAGACCCTCCCCCTTCAGACCACGCCAGGTCGTCCAAAACGGGGCGAGGCAGTCCGAGTCAATGACCGTTTTCAAGTTGACAGCCCAGACTTTGCTCGTCGTCTGTGGGAGGAGACGGGGCTCAAGGACGTGATATTAGACGGTCATGTCGAGGAACGATGGTGAGTCTCAGTTTGATCCGTTTCACAGTCACTCGCATTGAAACACAGGGCTCTTTCTTGGTCATCCTGCGTGCGTCCTACGCTACGGGTGCCGACTGAGAAAAAGCAACTTGGCTGTTCACAATGGATGGTGCCTGCTAGCCGAGATTACGAACTGTTGATAACCTTTGTTTACAGGGGCGGTGAGCCTGTCGGCTTGTCTCCCAATATTCGGGTGTACCGCTACTCGAAGGGACAGTTCTTTGACTGCCATTGTAGGTGCATCGTCATGTTCCTCAACATGCATTTTATTCCACTCCGCACACTCTTTGATCACGTCTCCATCTTCAACACCACCCTCACTTCCGACGTCAGCCCCGTCCGTCGGCTCTTGCACCAGCCGGTCCCTGATGTCTCACACGGACGCGCTACGGTCGTTCGGGCTGTCTCCGGCTTCTTCTCCCACTTGCCGCGGTGGTGATGGTGTCTGCGGCCCGAATTAGATCGGCCTCGTTGCAGTGCCAAGCCTCTGGCTTATATCCGTCCCCTGCCATGGCCATGATGGACACATTTCCCGGACACACACATGCTCTTCTGCGGGCAACGCAGGAAACCTTGGCTAACCACTGTGATCAATTCCCTCTAGATGATGATTCCAACAACCTGATTCTGGACGCGGTTCCCCCCCTTCCAGTTCGGACCACCTGGACGTTGCTCTTGTACTTGACTTCTCCCTCTGAGGGCTGCATTGGTGGAGAGACGGTGTTTTACACAAACGACCGCAAGCTGGCGCGTGAGGAGATAGCTGTCCCTCTCGAGACGGGCATGCTCCTCTTGCATAAGCACGGAGATGATTGTCTCCTCGTAAGGCTTCCCCTTTCCACGTTTTCTCTTCCCCCTCCAAGAAGTTTCCCCCCGGCCAATACCATGCGAGAAGCGGCTCTGAAGGCTGACTACTTGACGCTAATCTAGCACGAAGGGCGGGAGGTGACCGCAGGCGAAAAATGGGTCCTCCGCACTGATCTGTGTATCAAGCGGTGATTTGGCGATCGCCAAGTCTTGTCACGGGCAGACGGGCTGACTTGAGATTACGGATGACACATGCGGATGGATGGATACATACGCATCTTTTGGTTCGAGTGCTGCGTATGTACGGATACTGTATGAGCATAAGGTTCTATAGGATAGAGTGGTGCCTACCGTAAAAACTCAATAAACACACACACTTGGGTGGAGAGGCTAAGGCATGAATCACAAGCGGTCATTGGCAGTAAAGATCCGACCTCTTATCCAATTAGCAGAGGGGATTTTAGCGACTCCACCCAAGTGTCTGTGTTTATTGAGTTTTTACGGTACTCTGCTCCTCGGCATGCAACGCTATGACTCCCAAGGCTCGTCTGCTTCTGTTTGTTAACCCGGCTTCTGCAACACCCCCTCTAAAGCTCCATCCATCAGTTACCTACTCTCCAGTGAGACGTCCCAGACGATCCATGGCGCTCTCCTCCTCCACATCCTGCTCCGTCGCCTGTCCTTGTCCGCCGCATGTGTCGCCCTCTTCGGGGGCCTTATCCGATGCCTCCTGACTGACGCCGCCGCCCCCGTTGTGGTTGTGGTTGTTGCTGCTGCTGTCAGTGAGCTCTGACTTGTCTTGGCCTGTCGACGCCTTCCCTTCGTCCGCCATGGAAAGCAACGCCTCAGATGGCGCATCATCGTCGTCATGGCAGCTCTCATCATCAGGTTCAAACAATGCCAGTGGCTGTCCACGATGGACAACTGTCCCATCCGGCAGACGAGTATGGACCTCTGGGCCAAGACCAGGCTCTGGCATGGTCTCCTGCTCCTGCTTGCTGCATGCAGAAACTTGCCTGGGTCCGGGGTCGGGGGACGACCTGTGGTGCTGGGTCGCTTTCCGATGGGCTGCTGCCAAAACAGACGCCTTGGGGTCATACTTGGCCCCCAGTGCCAGACGACACATGACCCAGTGAAAGATCCATGGAAAGCTGATGAGCGGCATTGACTTTGGCTCCAGCTTTCGGGGCTGCAGGATGTGTCCAGCGTCGTTGATGGGACCCCGGTGGTGTTCGAAAAGTGCAATCTTTGTCTCTTCCTCGGTAACGGTGTACATGGCTGCCACAAAGCGATCAACCTGGTCAGTCAGCTTGCCACCTGCAGCCTCGTAGCAGATGTCACGGAATCGGTACTTCAGTGCATCATATTCGTGGCTGAGGCTCTCCTGCAGCTTGTAATCCGTGCCCACGGCAGGCTTTGACATGGCGAAACCCGTCCAGAGCTCAAACTCGGTCTTCAGGTCATGCTGGCTGAGCAGCCGTCGGACTGCGGTGTCGTACTGAGACTTGACCTTTCTTGCTGCCTTGAGTAGCTCGTTGTCTAGTTTGTACTTTTTTGTGATTCGATCGTCAAACGGGCTGTCCCAGATGGGGTTGAACTGGATGACCTTGGCCTTGTTGACAACCTTGTCGTAGATGACACCGAGGGCCTTGTCTGAGTGGTAGAATTGTTTCTTTTCCATAAAGTGCGGCCACTTTCGAGGTTGCTGGTCACGCCTTAGCGTCGCCGGCTCCCCAGTCTTGGGGTAGTCCACGGCTTTGGAGTGTAGCTCTGCGAGTTCAAGACCTACATGCGTGATCAGACAGGTTGACAAGGAGGGTCACATCCGGCAGTACTCACATTTTGGGGACATGGGCCCAAGTTGATCGGCAAAGCCCAGATGCGAGGTTGCAATAAGCGGGAGCTTGTCGTTCTTCAGGTACTTGACGAAAAAGTTCCTGAGGTCATCGACGTTGACGTCGCGATCCAACTCCTTAGGCTTGGGAGCTGCGTAATCCATGGGTGAATAGTTCCATGTCTTGGGAATCAGACTCGGTTCCCATATGACAAAGAAGTCATCACCGTCGAGGTCACCACCAGACAACATGTTGGGAACGGGTCGGTCGCCTGTTGCAGGAAACACGACGACGTCCTTGATGTGACGCAGCTTTGAGCAGTCAACCGCCTCGACGACACGGATATCTCCTGGATGCAGGGATGGATTGCGCCCTACGATACACACGCCTTGTATGATGTGTGTCTTGTTGTAGTTCCTGGAGTCGGTGATCTGAAGGAAGATCTGGGGCAGCATGTTGACATCCTTGGGCTTGGACCCCTCTGAGTCTTTCGAGTGGCCTCTGAGCGTCTCCGTCTCATCGACGCAGCCAAGGACGAAAGCGCTCTTCTCGACTTGGATTCGCGCCTTTTCCTTGAGGATCTTCAGGGACCATGCCCTCCAAAGACTGAGGACATTGATGACAAATGGTTCACGCAGCTCGTCTGTCTTGAACTCGGCCTTGAGAAGCTCGGCGATGACGAGGTTTGTCTGATGTTCGTCGACGAATTTAGCCAGCATCTCAATAGCAACACCGTTGTCCTGCATGGCCTGTTCGTACGACCCAAGCTGTTGATCCAGAAGATCCGTGAATGCTTTGATAGGAACTCCCAAGCTCTCGAGGATGATGATGGTCTGCCGGTTGAGAGTAGCCGTTGCGAAACCAGCGCAACGAATTATTTCGAGACCTTTGGAGTCCGCCTCAAACTTCTTTTGAGATTCGCGAACATGTACCTCCATTCCCTTGGCATCCGGCCAGACGGTAAGGACGCCCTTGCAGCCTCCCATACGGAACTGGAAAGCCGACGGCTTATCAAAGATGTCGAGGGCCATGTCTTCGTTGACGAGCTGTGCCACGAAGGGGGATATTTTGCCCACGCCATCTGAGAAGCAGTGTCCGTTTCGCTCGATGTCAGGAATCTCGCGGATAGCAGGAGAAGAAATGCCGCGGACCTCTCGTGTGGTTGAGAAACACTGGCCGAGGCGAGCCGCATACTTGGCCACAACTTTGATATGGCTGAACTGTCCCATCCACTTGCGGATATCATCGCAAGAAGTATGCTCTGTAGGGCAGAAGAAGTATGCCCCGTTCACTCTGAGCTGGGAGCTGCCAAAGGCCAGGAACTCGTAGACGCGGTCGCCAATGCGGATGCCTTGGTACATTGTGCGCAGGACTCTCTTGTAGATCTCGTCATTTTGGTCCTTGTTGATGGCGATTCTGGTATTCTCAAGCTCCTCGACGAACTGGATTCTCAAAAAGCGATCTTGAATGTGTTTATACTGTCGCATAACACGGTTGGACATTTCCACGGCTGGTGAATTGAAGCGGATTGTCGTCGGAGTGACGACAACCTTGCGAACGAGCGCACAGTACTGGGGAATTCTAGCGATGGGTGAAAAGGCTTCGGCTTCGGGATTCTGGAAGATGGACATGGGATTCTGAACAGGCTCTCCCTGATCTGCGAGGTATTCGAGATAAAGTCTAGCCTTTCTAGGGTTCATCGAGGCTAGCTTCTCGAGGAACTCGAGAGTGATGGTGTGTTCGTTGAGAATGTCCCGAGAGATGCAAACCTCAAGTTGGTAGCGAATCTCAAAGGGCAGGTGTATGATAGGGTCCGAGGTCTGCTGAAGCATCTCCAGGGCGTTGCCATTTTCGACCAAAGTCGGTTGCTCCAGGTGCTTCCACATATCTGCATGTGCACCATGTGTGACACGAAATTCGCCGTCCTCGTGGACCTGTGTGGTGATGTTGAAGTCATCAAGGGCGCTGACGACCTGCTGGTTAGCAAGCTTGGTCTCTGAGGTGCTGTCATCTAGGACGAAGCGAATAGTAGTCCAGCGGCCGATATCGATGAAGCCAGGGTCCTTGTAGTCGTTGTGTAGAGCAACGGGGTACTTCATTGGGATTCCAGCCTGTTCGACAAGGTCTGTAGCACGATTCCACGTCTCCGTAGTGTTCCAGTTGTTGGCCTCGTCAGAGAAGGACGAGCGAATGTTGGGTCGCTTCCAGTAGTACTGAGGCGGGACGTTGACGGGCATCACCAGGGCGCATCCATTTTCATCAGCCGGACTCTGGTGGACGTGCTTCATCTTGGAAAAGTCGACGGCAACCTTGTGCTGTCGAACATGTTTTCCACCTCGTGTCTCAACCTCCATGGGGAAGAAGGCAGTCAAGCGCATGGCTCTGAGGTTGATCTCAAGCTTGAGGGTGTGCTCGTCAACGGTATTATAGAACGACTTCATAACCTTGATGCTTCGAGGTCCCAGCATGCTCCCGAACTGGATGGCGAGAGGGTGCAGCGTGATCTTGATGGGGTAGTAACGATCTGGGCTGACGGGACTTCGAATCCAACACCTAGGGGTCCCTCTCAATGGGCTCACGAAGATCTTGAGGCCATTGGGGTACCGACTCACGTCTGGGTGAGAGACCCAGTAGGTGCCGGTGGACCAAAAGGCCCTCTTGGGAGGCGGCTCGAACCTGACCTTCGCTGAGGAGAGCGCAGGGTCTCTAGCGATTTCGTAGATGTCGATGTAGACAATCTCGCCCTCGTGCGAGAACCAGTCCCAGAGGTTGGAGGTGGTAACGGACCTGGGCAACTTGTCGATCTGGATGGTCATCTCGGGCCATGTCTGCCACTCGGCCGGGGTTTGGAACGCGGGCGCGTTGTTAGTCGGGCTTCGGGTTCCTTTTGCAGGTCTCCCTGGCTTTCCTGGTTTCATCGGCCGCTTACGGCCTTTGGATGGACCGCTGGGAGGGGGCCTCTGTGAACTCATGGTTCAACTTGTCGCGATGGTGATCTCGGCGACGGTCTTGGAAGATGATATACCAAGAAGGTAGATGAGTAGATCTAATCCGTGAGATATGCGCCGAGTATGTGTCGAAACAAAATTGCACATGTGCGTGATAGAAAAGATAAATGTTGGGGAGGAGAAAGCAGAAGTGGAAGAAGGCAAGAGGCCTCAATACACAAGGCAGTGGAGGTGGATGCGCTGCGACAGTGATTCAGTGGGGAGCAGTAACCGGGCGCGTATTATAGAGCGCTCAAAGAGAAGAGATGCCTGATTTGCAGCACTTTGGATGATAAGGAAGAATTTTCGTGTCGCTGGGAGATGGGATGAAAAAACATGAGGAAGGAGCAACAGCGCCAGGAGCTGACACTGCTGCCAGCTTTATGAACGCTGCCAACAATAGCCACATTAAGTTCCAAACCAAGCATCTCTAGCGATAGTAAAATGAAAAGACAACAAATACATTCGCACGCATTTGCTCCCGTCAAAGTGTTGTCATGATGAAGTGTCATTTGTCAGTAATGCCTGTTACACGGATAGCTGCGTCCGTCACGCATGAGCAAACAAGAATGGCAAATATGCCCCTTTACTCCTCGTTTACACCACCAGGCCAATCAATGGTATATTAAATGTGCCACTGAAAAACAGTTTGAGTCATCATGTTATGCTCTATTGATCTCGTGAGGAAAGACTTGTCGCATCCATCAAATCTGAGCTCAGGGGTTAGTTACCCTACAATATCCCGGAGAGAATGATCACCACATCAATACAAACGTATAGGTAGGTTGGTTGGTACATTCTAGACTCTACTCACATCCATTTTTAATAATCAGCCTCTAATCTCCCCTTATACCATGCAATACACCACTCCCTCACTCGCCCCTCACAACCCTGTTGGGAGTCACTGCTATCTCAGCCTCTGGATACTCGGTCCTCTCCCACGGCACATCCATAATCTTGCCTGGGTTCATAACCCATCGAGGATCCAACGCCCTCTTTAGCGTCGCCATGATTGCCAACGTCTCAGGCCCAACCTCCCACAGCAAACTCTCCTTTTTGCCCCATCCGATCGAGTGCTCCCCCGTGCACGTGCCCTCCATGTCGAGCGCCCGTCGTACCATGTTCTTGACGCACTTTTCCACCTTGGCACGTTCTCCGGGCACATCTTTGTTGTACATGATGCCTTCGTGGAAGTTTCCGTCACCGACGTGGCCCAGGATTCCAGCGAAAAGACCGAGCTCGTCCATCTCTTTCTTGCTCACCTCGATAATGTCAGCCAATCGGCTAAAGGGGACTGCCACATCAGTGCTCCCTATTCGAGAATGTCAGTCGACTTATAACACCCTACAAGAGGTATAGCACTTACAAACATCTTGGCCACTCTTTCTCAAGGACAGCATTGACCAAAGCGACTCCTTTCTCGCAGACCACAGTAGCTTCTGCTCGCGCTCATCCCGCGCAAACTCAAAGTCGCCGCCCTTGTTGGCCGCCGTGATCCTTTGAACCCGCGTGATGTTATCCCTGACACCCTCCTTGGTGCCCGAGAATTTGAAGAAAAGCGTCGGCGTCTCCTTCCAGATTCGCGGCTTGGTAGCGCCGCCCAGGTTGATCACCCTCATCTGCACATCGTCCATGATCTCCATCGCGGCAACTGGGATGCCTGTCTGCATGACGCCTGCTGCTGCGGCCGCGGCATCGCGAATGCTGGGGAATGTGACGACGGCAACCGAATACTCCTCAGGGATGACGGCCAACTTGAGGGTGGCTGCGAGCGTCAGCTTAGATGAATACTCGAAAGGGGTCATGGAGCTTATACCTTCTGTGACGAGGCCCAGGGTTCCCTCGGAGCCAACAAAAAGTCCGTTCAAGTTGTACCCAGCCGATGACTTGCGTGGTCTTCTCCTTGTCTTGATGATGCGTCCGTCAGACAGGACAACAGTCAAGTTGATGACCCAGTCCTTCATGGTACCGTACCTCACAGCATTGGTTCCAGAGCAGTTTGTCCCAATCATGCCGCCAATCTTGGCACTCGGACCTGTCGTTTGTAGTCAGCCTCTGAGCTTCCCCAAGACCACAGATTCTGCATACCAGGATCAACAGGGAAAAAGAGCCCGCTGCCCATCTTCAATAATTGCGTATTAAGATCCTGCCACCCAATGCTAGGCTGGACAACAATATCCATATCATCCTTGTTGAACTGGATAATCTTGTCCATGTAAGCAAAGTCGACGCTGACTCCTCCGTAAGGGGCTGAGAAGTTTCCCTCGAGACTCGAGCCGCCAGAGTAGGGGATGATGGGCACACGGTGCTCGTGGCAGATGCGAGCTATGACGGATACCTGCTCTGTTGTACGAGGGTATGCCACTGCCACGGGGAGGGTGTCAGGGTTGACGGTCGACCACTCTGAATAGCCATGGGCATGCAGATCCTCAGGATCTGTCGAGATGAAGCCTTCGACACCAACCTCCTTCTCAATTTTATGGATGGCCTTTGCAAGTCAGTCTCTGAACAATGAGAATTCTTTAAATGTCTCTACCTTTTCCATCTCGGACAGTGTAGCGTAACGAGACTCTGTTGACTGGTGGGCAACTAGTCCCAAAGACCGGCTGGCATCATCTTGTTTGCTTAAACTGGCGACTCCCCAACCAAGAGCTCCGGCCCCAACAGCAACAGCCAATACCCTTGATCCAGACCAACCTGAAGTCTTGTCGGAGCTGCCATGACTAGACGCCGAAGCCTCGGGGCTAACACGTCTTGACGATGTGGTGAAGCCGCGGCGGACACTGCACCTCAGAGCACTGCGGCCCAGGAGGGCTCGTGCCGTACTTCTGCTGGTGAGCATTTTGGAGATTTGGTGAGAATAGGCCCGAGGCCGGTAGCGGTTTCTTCGTCCGAAAGAAAGGAACAAACGCCTTAGGGACCCGCAATTGTTCGTGAAGTGGAACCAAGATTCAGATCTCTCTTTGATCAGATAACCGAGCCCTTGACCCTTTTTCTCACGAACCGTGATTTTCTGGTTTTCCAGCACTGGAAAGTCTTTTTTACCTCTGGGATGGGTTTTGAAGAATGCTGCCGCCTCTAAGCGAGTCTGGCCTCGAAATGTGCCCAAAAGCAAAAAGCCCAGAACGGACAAACAAAACAAAACAAAACAAAACAAAACAAAACAAAGACAACTCAGACGAGACAGATCAGATCCTTCAGGCCAAGCCGGCAAAGCCTAAAACGGGGGCATTCATTTGATCGGGTCGGGACCGGAAACGTAGGTCACGATGTATAAGTACCCGGGGGGGAGTCGAGTCGAGTCGGGTCGGCAGGAGGAACCATCGCCGACATGTCGTGGGGCGGCGCCAGTGGAGAGCGGCGCCGAGCGATGACGGTCTCACCCTCCACTGACTGATGCAATACAGAAGAAAATGGCTGGCTCCCTCTGTCTCTCTTTTCATTTCTCCGTTAGCGGCCCGGCGCTATAAACGGCCAGTGGGCACACGATCTCGTGCCCATGGTCCGGCCGTCGAATAGCAGGGCGTGGGTGTCGAGCGTGTTGTCCGTCTTGTGTATGTAGCTTGCTGTAGATGGCAGCTGGTTAGGCTGTTGATCGTCCGCCGCCTCGCTCGCTCCCCACGCAGCAGGCAACGCACGCATGCACAGCAGAGGAGCATGGCGCATGAGACCTGCATGGTCGAAAAAAGGACGGTCCGTCGCCGAGTCTGCTTCCAGTTCCCGTTAGTCAAGCATTCTCGCCCTCGTGCGTAACTGATACCTCGGTGAGCCTGTCCTGGCTGCGTCGGCCTCCCCCGCCCCCCTCACTCCTGGACGGGATTAGGGATTACATACAGGGCCAGGCCAGGACGTCAGCCCCTGCGTACCGGTCCAGGTTTCTTGCATCTTGCAAGCGTGGGAGGGTGTGGAGAGCAACAGACACAAAAGCCCACTTGGTCCAGTTTGCGAGTTTGGGGGTCGAGAGGGATAAGTAGCTAGTTTCGATGGAGAGCTTGGGGGGTTTCTGCCGAGGAAGACGAATCTGGTCTTGGCTGATTGCCGACGTCGTAATCAGCAATCTCGACCGACGTGGGGTGTATCCAGGGAAGAGGCATCATGGCTTACAACGGGATATGCACAACCTCACGCGCATCCAGGTCAAATGACAGCCCCTGCAGACTCATGCTTGGTAAAGCAATCGTATTCGACTTTATTGGGCATGCTTCCCTGATGGAGGTTTATTCCGTCCCGTCTCGGCAGCCCGTCCGAGTATTGACTCTCACAGTGCCTGGATCACCTACCATTTCCTACGTCACCATGCTCGATCCTTCGGGATATCAATTGGCTTCGGAACCTTCTCGACTCAACTCCGTGGCCTATTCAGAACCCCAGCAACAGGGGCCCATATCAACAATGGAGAGCCAAAGGTGACTTGTCATCAAAGAGAAATGCGCTGTGTATCTGTCAAATGCATTCTGCCACTAAACCAACCATGCCTGCTGGCCAATTCAACATTGCAGGCAGTGGTGATAGGGCGAAGCAAACATGCTCAAGCAATCCTTGTGTCCCCTTTCACAACCTCAACCGTCCAATGAACGAACACAGAATATCACTTCGAAAAGTCAATTCCGACGTCTCGGAAAACCTCTAGACATCTATCCTTTCGCCTCGGTACATATTACAACACTGGCCCACCATGTTGCAATTCATCCACCAGTTGACGCCTTTCGAGACTATAGAGTATTCTGTCTAGGTAGCTCCCACTCTGTCTCCATACATCTCCACTCTGTCTGTAAGCCTCAGTGGCTTCCATAAGAAAAACCACCTACATAACGTGGGAGCAGTTGCTGCAAGTCCTGATAGCTGCGGTTCCGAGGTGCAGTCACGGCTCCAGTTGCTGCTGGTTGGCCTCAAACCTCGGCCAAATAGCGCATCCCATGGAGCTTTGCCACGACCTTTGAGATAGACATTGCTGTCACTTGTTGCATGCTTTACTCAAAATTGAGACCTAACCTTAGTCCAACATCACACTCTAAGCTGGAGGCCCAAGTCACTACATGCTTAGCGGAGGCTTCAAGGCAGAGACAATCAAACATGGACACGTCACATAACGCAAGAACAACTCTTCGGAATCGACGACACTGCGTGTTTGGCTCAAATTCATCTTTTATCGTAGCCTCATGGGGCTGGCTATCTCCAGGGTAGTTAAAGCCGTAAAGCAAACGTCAAATCCGAGACTCCAGACCACATGCCATTTTTCCCATTCCTTACGCAGAACCATCCACACTTTAGTGAGCGATGGCGTAGGCACGTCGGCGGTCACGCTCCTCAGCGATGGTGAGCTTGACACCCTTGCCCTTGGGCAGAGAGATCCAGGGCTTGTCCTGGCCAATGACGAAAACGTTGCTCTCACGGGTGGCAAAGGTGTTGTCAATGGCGTCCTTGACGTGGACGATGTTGAAACCACCGTCGTGGCGCTCACGGTGAGTGATGACACCAACACGACCCATGTTACGTCCACCGGTAACCATGACGACGGCACCAGTGTCGAACTTGATGAAGTCGGTGATCTTGCCAGTGGCGAGGTCAATCTTGACAGTGTCGTTGACCTTGATCAGGGGGTCAGGGTAGCGGATGCTGCAGAATCTCGTTAGCACGGGGTTACGGGGAGGAACATACAACCGTCAAATAAAGCTCCTGACGTGTCAGGTGAATCGAATCGACCAAAGCTTGATCCAACGGCTGAATGATGTCTGACAGAACTTACGTTCGTGCATCGTGCGTGACCAAGAATGGGATTCCACCACGACCAAGCTGAACACGCTTGACCTTGCCCAGCTTGTACTCGGCCTCCTCGGCCTGAATTCGGTGGACGGTGAATCGGCCCTTGGTGTCGTAGACGAGACGGAAGTTCTCGCCGGTCTTCTCGATGGTGATGACATCCATGAAGCCAGAGGGGTAGGTGGAGTCGGTGCGGACCTTGCCGTCAACCTTGACCAGGCGCTGCATCAAGATGGACTTGGTCTCACGGTAGTTGAGAGCATACTTGAGGCGGTTTCGGATGAAGACGATCAGAGGCATGCAGTCGCGGAGCTTGTGAGGACCGGCAGAGGGCTTGGGAGCGTAGGTGCCGGACAGCTTGTCAAGCAGCCAGTGCGAGGGGGCGCTGAGGCGCTTCTGGTGCTTCTTGCTATTGAGACGGTCAGAATCTCGTCCTCTAGGCCAGGGACGGCGGGGAAGAGTCGCGCATCGACGGGGGCATTTGTCTGCAAAGACCGTGATGGCTCCTCTCGTTGTCGTACTCACATTCCGCGGGCCATGGTGTCGGTTGGCTGGTTAGTCGACGGTGTTGAGGAAGATGGACGAAGGGCCTAATGGACGAGGAGCAAAAGTGCGAATTGATAGACCACACTTTTTTTTCGCGAGCGCTAGCCGGTGGAGGGGTTTCATGCCCTACGATTGTAGGGAAATTTGTGGATCACGTGCAAGGTCAGCTGATGAATCCGAACCTCATGGATCCACCTCCGCAACCATCCGAGGAGACCATTGGAGAGTGGAATGGGTTGAAGGAATCGCGTGCAGCGGTTCGACTGGGACAAGAGGATTCTCTGCCCCTGTCTACGGAGTATATCAGAGGTAACGTTGTTCATGGTGTTCATCACCAGTCCTCACGGATTAATTACACCCAAGATTCTCAACCACTAAAAGTCGTATTACTTTACAGACCAACCAAGGTCTGATGTATGGCCATTGCCATCTCTCGTCAGTAATATTCGAGGATATCTAACAAACAATGTTCCTTTTTAAAACTTTTCTCAAACAATCCATCTTTGCCTGCGAGGCAACCCTTATTTTCCCTCCCATGAGCGCCAGTGTATAATGTCAGCCCGTAAGAAATGGCCGTTGACCAGCGCTTGCTGCCATTTTTTGTTGTCCCATGGATGTCTTCCAATCTACGTACGCCCTGACCCTTTGTTCAATTCAATATTTCCCAACTCCTGTTCCTGCATCGGAACCTTCGTAAACATTAGTGCAGATCATCCTGCTCATGACGTTATAGCAGCACCTTGTACTACCTCCCCTGGTGTTGCATCCCCTCCTTAATGCGAGCTTCCTGTGGAGCACCTGACGGTGGTGTCAGACCGGGAACTCCCTCGAGTCCAAAGCGTTGGCTCCCCTGTGCCAGCTTTGCATCATCGAGAAGTAGGCGTGAAATGTCCATCTCACCGCCCATGAACTGGGGGGCGGGGGCTTCTCCAAACTCGAATCCTTGGGCTGCATGTAGACTGTCACCGGTATCCATCCTCTGTAGTGGCCACCTGGGAAGATCCTCTCGCGACGTTGAGCGATTTGTCTGGGGTTCAAGTGCAGTGCTCGTTGACATCTTGAGCGAGTTCTCGATTGAGATGCTCACCGACGGCTCCATGATGTCACTCCCACGGCCGGCCTCCTTAGTCTGAAACGTGCCCTTCTCTATGCGATGGTAGATGTTGGAATATTTGTTGCGTACCCGATCTCTCAGGTCAGTGGGTTGTCGGCTCGAGAGATGGAAGCGAGGATCCCGTTGAATCTTGGTCCATGCAGGGCCATGAGTGTCGAGACCCTCGAGGATTTCTCGGTCATCCTGCTCAGTGAAAGGCCGACGTTCACGACGATGAGATTTCTTGAAGGGACCGAGAATCCCAAGTTCGACAAGATCTTCCATCTTCTTGCGGTGTGCACGACTCTTCTTCTGCTTCGGGGTTCCGTCTGTGTCGTTCTGTGGAACCGTGGTATTGTTCATTGTTGAAGAAGTATCCCCGTCTATCAAAATCTTTTCCAAATGAGTATCAGTCTTACCCTTCTGCTTCGTCCCTTTTCCGGAGCGTGACGGTGAACCAAGCTCAGATGACTTGCTAGACTTGCGAAGCTCATCAGGGCAGCAAGTCCTGAACCTGTCCTTGAGGTCTCCGGCTGTTCGGCCATTGAATTTGAAGTCCGGATCCTCGAGAATACTGGTCCACTTTCCTACGCCGTGCCGGTCAACGCCGAGCAAGAGATGGTTTGTTTCTTCCTCAGACCACTTTCTTCTGGGCTTGGTCGCCCGCTTTCGTCCCTTGTTGGAATTGGAATTCTTGTCAGTCTCCTGTGTAGGTTGGTTGAACTCGTGTAGCATCTTCATCTGTGCACCATCCTTCCCATCAAATGAATCGGACGATATTGGCGGAAACAGGGCAGCGTGTGGCGGGGGCTCATGGAGTCCGTTGATGATAGGTGGCATGACAGGCGCCTGCTGGGCGGCCTTTTGTTTCTTGAGAGGTTGCGGCAGTTGCACAAAGTCATCCTTGACATGAAGCCCACGGTGCCGCTTCTTGTTAGAGGCATCATCCGGGAGATCGGGACTGTCATCCAGCATTCGGCTTATCGAGTGGGATGATTCCGGAGCGTCGGAATCACCCAGAGCCAGACGCAGCGGAAAGGGTCCCGAAGTCGCCGCTGACTTCCCATCTTGACGACTTCCTTCCCTCCAAGGGTCGAGGGTACCATCATCAGCCCCAAGATATATCGGACCAACACCGTTGGCGATGGGTTGAGTATCGGCGGCTGGTTTCTCGCCTCGCGGGTTCGTGTCGGGCTCAAGCGGGGGCAGGGCTCGGTCGGCAGCCTTGGGGAGCGGAAGAGACTGCAGCGGGGGAAGATCGGTATGTGGAAGCTGGGGCGTCGTCGGCTCGTTGAGCAGATGAATCAAGCGTGGCTCGATCGTGGCCATCGTGGGCTCGCGGGATTGGGATGGCACATTGGGTATAAGTCGAGGACCACCGAGAAGCAGGCACAGGCACACACAGGTTCAGGCGAGGGAGAGGAGAGGGGGAGGGGAAAAGAAACAGCCGTTGAGAAGGAGGGACAAGAGCTCAGAGCGCCATTTCGGCCATGGGAATGGGAAACTGATTCACACAGAGTCGGGGTCGTTAACGCCTGAGGTCTCACCTGCTTGCCTCTCTGTTGGAGCAGCACGTGAAATCGCCACATGGTGAAGCTTTGGACCTTGGGCCTTGGGCCTTGGTTCGTTAGTGGAGAAGGGCGGGTTTCCGTAGCTGGCCAAGGGACAAACCCTCTTTCGACTAACAGGAGCCTGTAGCTCTCCGGGGCCTTGACACCTTCCTCCGTGCCCCAGAACCAAATCTAATTCTACGATAATGGAAATTAAACCTTTGGCTTTCATTCAAGATAGGCACTCAATCAACAAGACATCTTGAGCGCTTTCTTGGTGTTGAATTTGAAAATGCTGTTATGGCGAGACTTGCTCTCCAGGAGTGGGGAAGGCTGGTCTTATCGTGAGTTATGACCGTGATTACTTTCCGGAGCTTGACCGATATGAGGGAAAGAGTGGGGCACCACTTCCTATCCCGGGGTAGCGCCTCGGCTCAACCTCAACCCCCTTGCAGTGGATCACGAGTGGTTCGGATTGGCCAATGCCCTTCCATCGGCAAGTTTCTCTGTACGAGTCTCGCTTGTGATGAACCGACTTTGCTCTGTTGGGACCGGCCTCGGAAGCCGGCTTCGGGTTTGGCCTTTGGGGAACGGAAGCGGGTTATCAGATCGTGTCTCCAGCTCCAACTGGTCCACTGAGAGGCAGCCACACACACACCTTGCGACTTCAGTGTGACCATCTGCCAGACATTGATTGACCTGTGACGATGGCATCTTCTCTCCCAACCTTTCCCCGTGTGGTATTCACCATTATTGAACCAATCTCCCTGTACGGATATAAACACCATCATTCATTGTACAGTTACTCACATTCCGCCTAGGGTTGCCGGCTTCCTCGGAGCTGTCATTGATCCAGCTTGGTTTATTGGCGAACAAGTCCTTCAGAAGGATGGCATTGCTACCTCTGAAGGAAGTATCGTAGTGGCTTGGCAGCTGGGGAATCTTTATCTGTTGATGGCCTTCATTGGCATAGCAGTCCTATCGACGACATCCGAAAACAAGGTCGTCCGAGCCTACCTCGTCGCTCTCTGGCTCGGTGATGTCGGTCACGTCGGGTTCAGCTGCTACGGGCTTGGGTGGGGAAAGCTTGTGAGGCCTGTTGAGTGGAACGCTATGGCTTGGGGAAACATTGCCATGACAGTAAGGGATGGGTTTCTTAATTGCCTTGGACCATCAGCTGACATTTGCCAACAGCTTTTCCTCCTCCTGACACGAACAGCCTATTTTGCGGGACTTTTCGGTCCGGACCAGATTGCTGCATCCAAGACGAAGAAGAGAGCATAATGCATGTGATGACAGACTTGATAGTGTAATTATGAGTAAACTAGGGAATAAATAAAAGAACCTAGTAAGAGCACAATCACTCTCTAATACTATGAGATTACTTGTGATAATTTTCTTCAAATTCTTAGGCCTTAAATCTACATTTTGCTATGATAATTAGAAAGGGTGTCTGATGTTTTTTTTACGACCGCATGGCAGCGAGGTCCGCACTTGAGCATATGATTGGGGATGGTCCAAGCTTCGCTTCCGCCCCACCACGCGCTCTTCACCACTCTAACCAATCACAGCATCGCGCCACAGGCAATTTCTAGGGTTAGGGTCAGCGTCGCAAGACGATCGCAAAACAAACATTCAGCAACCATCATCAGCGCGTCTTTGCCTGCTCTCGAAAGACTTATAGCATCGGACAGTGTCTATCCGTCTCCTGCACCTCATCGCTTCTATGGAAACTAGGAGTTATGCGAAGCGCGCAGGTCGCTATGCGCCTGCGCCTGCTCGCTCGCTGCCGCCGATGGCGACGCGACATAGAGGGATTAACCTCCTGACTTCTTCGCCGCGCAAGAGCCAAAGCACGCAAGAGTCCAAGGGAAAGCTTCTAAGGGACCCGGTCGCTCGGCGCAACGCTCCAGTCGACACCGCTAGTATTGCGAGCAGCATCGCAACGCACCCTGGTCGAGTTGACGACGAGACCGAGTTTGGCGAGGATGAAGGGTCTGTTGAGGATGTCAAGCCATCCGGGAGTCGCGATTATGTCCAATCCAGCATTTATAGCGATGAGGAGGGCGCATCCGTTGAAGATCACAGCGAGGAGATCCGAGTCGGCTTGGAGGCCAATGACGCCAGACGGAAAATCCTGGAGCTCAGCATCCCCGACTTGTGCAGGGAGGCTGACGACTTGATGGAGTATATCGGAAAACGAGACACGGATCCAGATGTCTTCCATGGCCGCCTGGCAATCAAAAGACGCGCCTTTCACAGCGTCCGAGCAGAGTATGAGGAAGAAGACACAGCACCCTTTATCGACTGGGCACCCTTTCTCAGCCAGTCTGCCGCTCTCGCGCGCGTCAATGTGGTGACAGCGTTTGACAAACTTTGCGACTTTAACCCCGACAACGAGAGGGAGATGGCATCCTTCTTGAAAACCCTTTGTCCCTTATTTCCAGCGTGGTTTGTCCTAGAACAATCCATGTTCCAAGAACCAGAAACCACGCTAGACCTCCGGACATGGCTTTTCATTGATTCATTTTCCCGTCAAACCGGCGAGACCGACTACAAGAGACTTATTGCCTCCATATTCTGCAAAGATGTAGGAGAGGGCAAAATAAATTACGCCCACCTGTTCGCCGGTGGCCATTTCCTGGAACTTGGGGGAGAAGGCGAAGATCACGATGAGCTCTGCTCAGCACGCGTCTCCGAAATTGTCAATATTGTCCATAAGAAGAAGACAGGAGATGCCATCAGCCTGTTGAAGGAAAGGTTTGGTCTGGACCAACTGATCCCAGAGCTTCAGAGTACTTTCAAGGCCCTTTACAAGATTCTAAAGCCTGTTGATAAACAAGCTTCGGTACAGCTCGATACTCGAGCTTTCACTCCCTACGAAAATCAACAAGAGAGTATGAGCATGATGGGGAGTCAAGCTGACGATCTCGCATCTGAATCGCAGTCGATTATTCGCGCCGGGACTGGCGAGGCCGAGTAAGTAACCGCACTATGCCATCGTCTAGGGTGTCAGCACTAATACATATATTAGGCCAAGTCTGTTTGTTGGACAAGAGTCCATCCGGGCCTTGCAAGAAGGGAACCGGGGAGGGAGCACAGTACCACCATCGAATCAACAACTCGCGGTACCTAGACGGGATGCTCCTCTCGATTATCCTGATCACCAAAATACGGATCTTTTGCTCAGGGATTCACTTCCTCCGCTCCAGCCCAAGAGGAAGCGGCCTGGCCCGTTCGTGAACTCGGATGATGATGACGACAATGATGAAGACTCCGGGGGAGAGTGCTTTGAGACTGATACCCGTGAGGTCAAGCCGATCAGACGGGAGGAGCCCCGAGGATTAATGGGCCCCCCACCACCCAAGAAGTCTCGAGTTCAACATTCAGTACCCGACTCTCAGCCTTCTCCTAGCCAGACTCCGGATTCAACGCCTACCGCGCCACCTCAGTCCTCAGTACCCGACCTCAGGGCCGTCAATGAGAAACGCGCAGAGATGGCCCTCCAGAACCGCTTCAACTCAAGCCAAGGCCCGCAGAAACGCATCCCCTGGACTGATCATGATACCAACCTGCTCATCGACCTCATTGCCGAGTGTCATTGCGGGTGGTCCCTCATAGAAAAGCGAGGCGACGGACGCTGGGAAAAAGAACGGAATCAGCAGGCGTGCCGCGACAAGGCCCGCAACCTCAAGGTCCAGTTCCTCCTGACGGATCAAAATCTGCCCCCGCTCTTCGACGATGTTATGCTAGGGCCAAAGGAGGTTATGAAAATACAGTCTCATGGGAAGAACCCTAACCGCAAGGTGGCCGATGTCGATGAAGATGGCCGCCCAATTGGCACTGAACTCAGGACAGCATCCATGGGGACCTCTTAGACGCCGTTGCGCCTAGTGGTCGAAGTTGGTGCCGAGTGTATCGCTATCGTTGGAGCGTTGGTATCTTGCTATGAACGTTATGAAGTAGGTGGCCGGTCGTGATAACAATGAGAAAGGCGGGCGTTTATGGATCGATATGATAGCTACTGTATATAGTATGACTTTTACAACCGAGTTTTGCCACAACCGTTACCACTTCAAATGCTCTGTCAAGGTCAGAGAGAATAGTCAAGGCTTGAAATCAAGTCAGCCGAGCTGTTTACCACAGTAACGAACCCTGTTGGAAAGAAGACGTTGAAAAATTGATTTGTAGTAAAGGAGAAAAAAAAGAAACTAAGAAAAAGAGACGTCTCCCGGACAGTAGTAAATCTACAGAGTTGCACCAACACATATCCTTATACATCCTCTGCATTCCTTGCCCTTCCTCCTCCCTGCGGCTGCTTGGCCTCTTCCCAACGTGCAACCATCAAGTCGTAAAAGACGGAGGGAGGACGCGGTCCTCATCCTTTTTAGCTCCTCAGCCTGTGAGGCCAGGCACCAGCGCCTTGCAGGACGCACACAACTATCGACACGCGAAAAAGAAAGGCAATAGGGCAGAGGTGATCTGAGTTGAGCAATAACTGTATCGTTGTGATTTGAATGAGGCTTTCTTATTTTGTCGAGGCCGCTAACACAAACGCCGCCGCCGTTCGAGATAGAAATCTTTTGAAAAGAAACAAAGTCAAAGAAAAATGTCATGAGCCGGTGGTGAGACCGTTGGACGTCGACAACTTGTTTATAAGTAATCATTGGTCCAGCAGGCTAAAGCTGCGCGGTCGAGTGAAGAGCAAATGTCTCACAAAAGGGGTATCAGCCGTGAGAACGAGTGGAGACAATGTCTCTCCGTGAACATCCATCGATGGATGCCTCCTCTCGTGCGTGAGTTCAGAAAACGATCGATGTAACAAAATGACAAAGGGGTATGCTGCAGAGTTTCCGAAAATGTTATGACGTGAAAGTAGTAGCTTGGGCGTTAAGGAAAAAGGTCCGTGATGTTGCGGTTTTGGTATTGTGTGGGTTTCTTTTTATCCATTCGAGATGAGAGCGGGCTGGCTTGAAAAGCAAGCATAGTCGATCAATGAGGTATGTGCATGTCCTCCCTTGAGTCAACCATTGGTTCGCTCTCGGTTGAAGCCACCTATCTGTGGCGGTAGGGAACTTCCCTCTGCTTGAGTCGGTTCGTCCTCCATCCTTCATACCACTGTTCTCGGCTGGCCTCACGCAACTCAGAACGCCATTCACTGAAGACAGCTTCCTTGAGACGCTGGAAGTCACAATGTTCTTCATTGTAAGGGTCAGCAAATCCCCAGGGGAACTGTCGGCCAACAACACCTGGTTCATACAGGTCAGGGCTGATGATGGAAAGCGGCAAGAAGGGAATTTCATCATCCTTCTCTTTAGCCTCCTCCTGCGCTCGGTGTCGTCGGATAGAGCTCGTTGACAACCGTTTAGAGCTAGGGGAGGCGGCCGGGCTATCTCGCGAGCCTTGGATCGGCAGATCATCGCCTTCGGGTGTTTGAGCACCTTCTCGGCGTCCAGCAATCTCATCCTCGTCATCTTCATCCTCTTCTTCGGCAATCCGGTCAGATGAGATGCTGCCATCGTCTTCATCGTCAATGCCAAGAGCCTCCATAGGGTCTAGGCCAGACTTCTTGATGCTGTCCCACACACTCCTCTTGAGCACATTCATATGCTTCGTGGTTATAGTATCTGCCTTGGCAATGACGGGAATGACAGTTGTCTTGCCCTGGAGGGTACGAAGAACCTGGAGATCAAGGTCTTCGTCAAGGCTGCCAAGAACACGAATGCTCGAGGCGTGGCCATTCTGCTGGCCGTTAATGGCTGGGTTTCTCGCAGACGCAATGTTGCGGTCAAGACGAGAAGGATCGAGGACCAGGAAGGTCGCGTGGATGTGGGTATCTTGTACGCCTGGGGAGCGCACAACCTTCATCTCCTCGGCAAAGGTCTCTTCGAACTTGCTTTCAAGGAAGGCTGACATCTCCCTAAGTTGAAGGTCAACCACATTCTTCTCCAGGCCTTCTGAATCCCAAAGGGTCAGGCCAACACGCTCGCCATCAATCTCGGTCTCGAGGTAGTGAGGGATGAAGTTTCCAGAGGGAGAATTGCGATTTTCAGGGACCTCATCGTCACCCTTCTTGGCTCGCTTCTTGGGTGGCAGGGCCAGTGCGGTTTTGAGAAACTCGAGAAACGAAGTCTTGCCAGAGTTACGTGTGCCAATGACGAGAATGCTAAAGGCTCAGGTTAGTTTACACGAAAATAAAGATCAAGACGCGACGAAAAGTAGCTTGACGCCAAGGGAATGCAGATGTAAGAGGGCAATCAACACTCACTTCAATGGAGTAGGATCCTTTCTTCTGCGAACGCGACGAGGGCTGTTGACGGTGCTAATAGCACTACTGGCATAGCTGTACCGACCACGGTTGGTCATGCTCTCGGTTCTGGCATAGGGATCGTAGCCGCCATTCGGCAGCGGAGGAACAGGGACTGCGACAGGAGAGGTAATGGCAGCACCATAGCCGCGCGAGTACTCGGCGGAGGGTCGAATGGCAGTGTAGTCGGAACGGGGTGCGCTGGCTGGCGACTCGGGTCGCAATTCGGGGCCAAAGGACTTGGAGAGTTGTTCGCTGTGGTTGGCGAACTCGGGCAGCTTGGGAGCAACACGAGAAGCGGCCTGGCGTTGACGTTCGAGCTCGGCCTCTCTAAGGGCCTGCGCCTTACGGCCGCCCTTGCCCAGATCACCACTCTTACTGCGTCGAAGCAACATCCCGAAGCTGGTACGACGAGTCTGGTCGTTGCTCATCCTCTGGGGGATGGATCATGAAAAGAAAAGGGTCGCGATGGGCGGGAGGGACGATGGCCCAGGGAGGGCATAAGCTGGCGGCGCGCGAAGGATGGAAGGGTGCGGAGCACGTGGAAAGCGGCGGGGAGGAACCAACTACTGGTCGGAGATGGAGATGGAGGGAGGGTTGGATGGGGCAGCGACGACCGAGCGTGTGAGTCGAGTCGAGAGTAGAGTGGAAGTGACCAAAGATCGGGGGCGGGAGCGAACGAGACGGAGGGTGAACGGATGGTGGGCGCACGATAGTCGACGGGTTGAAGGGACCCAGCGGCGTAAAAAGCGGGTTGACAGGCGACGGGCTTGGTTATCGACAGGCGATGGTGATGGACAAGTGACGGGCGATGGAGAGACGAGGCGGCGGTCGACAGCCAAAGGGGAGATCAACCAGGTCGTCTGGGCTGTATTTGGTCTCGAGCCTCAGTCAGCCACAGGTACAGACAGGGAAAAGTAGATGTGCGATTTCAGGAGGGAAGAAGAGCCCGCGTGCGACTGTTGGCGATGATGATGGGATGGGATGGGATGGGGGATGAGATGGATGCCCAGACCGCGAGCGCGCGCCAGTCGAGCAAAGTTGTGGTTGTGGGGGGGTGCAAGTACCGATAGTGAACGTTAGAGATGGGTGGAGAAGGAGTTAGAAACAAGGCCGAAGCGTTGGATTCGATTGGAGTTGACGAGTCTTGGGTCGAGATGTAATTACTGCCAGAGCAAAGCGGGAGATGAGTTGGACGTGCAAGCTGGCCTGGGCTTTCCCTGCAGTGGAGGTCTGGCAGTGTGTGCGAGCGAGCGACGGAAGCGCGCAAGTTGTGTAGAGCCCTTATTTGCTCGAGACGGATGGGAAACACGACAAGATGCGTGTCAGAGGACGTTGGCAACGAATGGACAACGTCCAGGGGCCCCCCAAGAGCAGCGAGTCCCCGTTTTGCAAGGGGAATCCAGGCTCGAATGGTTTCGAGTGTGCTGGGGTGGTTGATTGGCTGTCACCAGTCTTGTTCGAAAGCAGCGCCGCCATGGACGGGGGGCCAAGATTGGCACTCGGTAAGTGAGTTGCCTACTGTCCACTGAGTACTGCGCTAGATACGAGAACGGCAACAGGGGAGAAACAGAGAAGAAAGGCTGGAAAGCGGAAAGGGGCGTGGAAGATGCAGAACAGGGGCGGATGGGATGGGTGATGATGGCACGAAACAATTTACAATGGTCACACACACCAACCATCGATTGGTACAGGGACAGAGCATACGGGTACACAGCCCAAGAACCAAGGTGCCTCCGGGGCTGTTTAGGTTTCGATAGATACAGTGCCACATTTCCAGACTTGCAGCCCTCCGTCCGACTTGCACCTCATCTCGTCTCCGTGGCTAATATCCATGGCCATCGCCATGACAGACGTTGATCGTCGCAAGCTCTCGGCGCATTTCCCTCTACAACAAGACTCGGGAAAGGCCCAGACGCGACGCGATTCGCCAGCTTCTTCTGCAGCGCTAGCGCCGGCGCAGGGTCCAAGACACCAAAACCCAAGCTTGCCCAGGGGGTGGGATGGATGGCGAATTAGTTAGGGGGGGGGGGGGGCCAGCCAGAATCCTTAATAGGGAACCGACGGACTCCACGGCATTTATCCAGTAAAGAGCGCATAAAGGGGCGGGATTCAATATCTCCAGAAAAAAGATCGTGTGCTTCCTTCAGCTAAGCCATGCATCAAGAAACCTCATCTCTCCTGTTCGTCCACTTGATGGGCGAGTTTGGTACGTACCCCGAGATGGTGCTTCAGAGGCACAAAACACACTAAGCGGGACGCGAGGCCCCGCCAATTTAACGCCACGGGCCCATGCCTTTGGGTTCCAATGGATGGAAAGTGTTTAGTTGGAGTTGTGCAAGACACGGATCCAATATCAATTAATTAATTAGAACTGGTTACATGCGACGCTCATATCGCAGAAGAATACACATATCCTCATCTTGTGTCTCTCCAGCTTTGTCATGCTCCAATATGCCCGTCTTGGCTCAGCTGAGGTACCTCCCCATCAAGCTTCAACGGCCCACTGATGCAGGTACCGCGGTAGTCGATAAAGTGTCCGCTAAAGACATGGACAACTCCATCTGCTCC